CAGATAGCCGGTTCCTCTGGAAACTTAGGGTTTTCCCGAAGTTTCCTTATTTACGATTTATTTGACAGTAGGGTGAAATCGACTCCCACGATTATTTTTGATTTGTCTTGGTTTTGGTTTTATTTAGTTTCCGGTTTTTATGAACTTATGGGAAAATTCTTTAAGTCTAATAATACAAGGCCAATTGTTTAGCATTTGCTTAGCGTCCAGGAGAGGTGGCTCATTCTGTTTAGACCTTATTGCTTTAGACTTCATGGTTTTTTTTTTGCCATCGGGTACTATATAAACCCCTTATAAGTTGACTTGTAATTTTTTAGATTTTTTTAAATATATGAGTCAGTTTTCCCAGCAAAGAAAACCATAAAACTCTCTCTAGTTCTGCGTGAGAAGCCAGCTAGGAAGAGCCTTGAATCTTATCAAGTTTTTCATCACAACACTTGTGGTGATTCTTCACTCATACCATCCAGCGATTCTGCTAGAGAGAGATATACATCCAGCAAGCCGGATCCCATCTTCATTCCATCGTTCATCCACTATTCTTGTTGAGAGAGATCCACATCCAACAAGATGGACCCATCCATCCATCTCTCTATCTCTTTATTTGTTTTGTTTTCATATCGCATACCATATAGTTTCATTCATCCATCTTAAATAAAAAAAAAATCATCAAAAATCATGTATTTATACTGTTCATAATTTCTCATATAGTTTATCTTCTATTCATCTGTCTAAATCCATAAAAACGCAAAAAAGTTCTCATTTGTTCCACGTAAAAATTGCATCCACCATGATTCATCTACACCAATCGCCCACGCAAATCCCTCCTTAGTACCAGATCCGACCAAAACCGAAACCTCAGTAAAACCATCCTTATAGTCTGAATCTCAAGCTGTGACATTTGGTATCAGAGCTAAAGGCTCCTAAAATAACTGGTACATATTTCCCTTATGTTTCTTGCATATCATTTAGTGTTCTTCATTTTTGCATCCGAAAATTCAAAAAAAAAATGTTGTTCTTGCTTTTCATCATTGTTTAACTTAGGGATTCTCTATATCATTTTCGTGGATCAAAAGAAAGTGTCAATCTGTTTGTAGTTGATCGACCAGCTTTCCATTTTTGGAGGTCGAGTGATCAATTTACATTAATTTCCATTGATAATTGATCAAATCATTTAGGTTGATTAGATTTTGCATTTAGTTCGATTCTATAGATTGAAATTGCATTTATTTTAGATTCTAAATCATTTTTTTTAAAAAAGATTTCAGTCATTTTCAAATTTGGTTTGAATTTAGTTCCAACTTTCCTTTTTGATAAAAAAAAATATTTCATTGATTTGAGTTATAATTTTCAAACTTGTTTTTTTTATAAAGCCTTATTGCTTTAGAATTCATGTTGTTTTTTTCTTCAAAGATCCCAAGAACGGAAAACCACATCGGGTACTATATAAACCCCTTATAAGTGGACTTGTACTTTTTTTAGTTTTCTGAAATATATGAGTCAGTTTTCCCGAGGAAAGAAAACCCTAAAATTCTCTATGGTTCTATGTGAGAAGCCAGCTAGGAAGAGCCTTGAATCTTATCAAGTTTTTCATCACCAAACTTGTGGTGATTATTCACTATATACTATCCCACGTCCAGCAAGAAGGATCCATCCATCCATCTCTTTATTTGTTTTGTTTTCATATCGCATACCATATAGTTTCATTCATCCATCTTAAATAAAAAAAGCATCAAAAATCATGTATTTTTCTTGTTCATAATTTCTCATATAGTTTATCTTATGTTCATCTGTCTAAATCCATAAAAACTCAAAAAGTTCTCATTTGTTCCAGGTAAAAATTGCATCCACCATGATCCATCTACACCAATCGCCCACGCAAATCCGTCCTTAGTACCAGATCCGACCAAAACCGAAACCTCAGTAAAGCCATCCTTATAGTCTGAATCTCAAGGTATAACATTTGGTATCAGAGCTAAAGGCTCCTAAAATAACCGATACATCTTTCCCTTTTGTTTCTTGCATATCGTTTAGTGTTCTTCATTTTTGCATCCGAAAATTCAAAAAAAAATGTTGTTCTTTTTGTTCATCATTGTTCAACTTAGGGATTTTCTAGATCATTTTCGTGGATCAAAAGAAAGTGTCAATCTGTTTGTGTAGTTGATCGACCATCTTTCCATTTTTGGAGGCCGAGTGATCAATTTACATTAATTTCCATTGATAATTGATCAAATCATTTAGGTTGATTACATTTTGCATTTAGTTCGATTCTATAGATTGAAATTGCATTTATTTTAGATTCTAAATCATTTAAAAAAAGATTTCAATCATTTTTAAATTTGTTTTGAATTTAGTTCCAACTTTCCTTTTTGATAACAAAAAATATTTCATTGATTTGAGTTATAATTTTCAAACTTGTTTTTTGTTATACTGAAGGGCACGCACGCGTGATACGCATCCCTGTTATCTTCCCTTGATTCTCTGCATGATTTAGAAGACTAACGAGCGCTTCCGTGCATAGAATAAAATGAAAGGGGACAGAGGATCCCTCTGTCGTATACCTCTCTCTGGGACAAAATTCCCTCTTGGCTGTCCATTCATAAGGACCTTGTACTTTACCGATGTTACGCATCGCATTATCCAGGTTATCCAGACTTCTGAGAATCCCATTTTCCTCATTTTGGCCTCAATGAAGGACCATTACATTCTAGCATATGCCTTTCTCATGTCTATTTTAATAGCCATCCTCTTATTGCGTCCACTCGGTTTTGTTCGTAAAGCATGAAACATCTCCTGGGCAATCATAATATTGTCAGATATCTGTCTCCCAACAACAAAGACTGATTGGGTTTCTGATATCCTGTCTGGTAGAACCTTTTTTAATCTCTGGCATAAGACCTTAGAGATTATCTTGTAACTAACATTGCATAGGCTGATAGGACGAAGTTGGCTCATCTGGTTAGGCTTATCTACTTTCGGTATAAGGCATATGTTGGTGTTATTTAAACCAGAAGGCAACGTTCCTTCAAATAGGGATTGATTAACCATAAGAGTTAGATCATCTTTAACAATATCCCAAAATTTCTGGTAGAACAGCGCTGTCATTTCATCCGGTCCTGGGGCTTTCTCTGCGTGCATTGCAAAAAGAGCCAATTTCACCTCCCACTCGGTGACCGGAGTTGTTAGATTCTCATTATCTGATGTCGTAATTGTAGTGGAGACTTCAGATAAAGCATCCTCTATCTCTCCAGGATTTGATGACTGAAAATGTGTCAAATGTAACTTGTAGCAATGGCTACCAGTCATTCCTCATCGTCTACAACATTCCCATTTTCATCCAGCAATTGAGTTATCATGTTCCTCGCTCGCCGCTGTTTTGTCAGAGCGTGAAAAAATTTAGTATTTCTATCACCTTCCTGTAACCAGAATACCATGCACTTCTGCTTCCAGAACATCTCCTCCGCCTTAAGAGCGTCAATGCTGCCGAAATTTCCTCTGTAGTGGCATCATCATTAGAAGATAATTGATCTACTTTTTCCTTTAACTCCTCCACACTTTTCTCTGCATTCAGATTATGTAGCTTTTTCCAGTCACTTAAGGCTCTTCGACAATTTGCAATATGCTCCATGATACTTGCGTCTGGTGGGAGGTCCGATGATTTCCATCCCTCCAGTATAATCTGTCTGAGCTCCTCATTATCCAGCTATCTCTTATCAAAATTTTTTTTTTTGATCTTCGTGGTTTCTTTTTAAGAATATCAGCTAGAATCGGACGATGATCCGATCCCCAGAGTCTCATATACTGAACTTTGGAATGGAGGAACTTCTCATGCCAATCCTCGTTCCCAACAGCTCTATTGAGGCGGCACCTAACCGTCGTCTGTCCAGTTCTTCTTCCTACCCATGAAAGCATGTTCCTTGTGAAGGGAAAATCAATCATCCTATAATCACTCAGCATTTTCTTAAAGGGTAAGAATGAGCTGTCTGTGCGTTGTCTGCCTTCCTCCTTTTCCTCATGACAGGTTATTTCATTAAAATCTCCTATCATAAACCAATGCCCATTTCTCTTTGTAGAGAAACGCGTAAGACGTTCCCATACTAGATCTCTTCGTTCAATTACAGGGTCCCCATAAACAAATGTCATATAGACTTTTATTCTATCAATGAGTGCCTCAATGTCAATCATTCTGTTATTAGAAAATAAAACATTAACTTGTAAATCATTATTATCAAAAAGAGCTAAACCACCGCTGAGTCCAAGTGCTCAACAGTAAATAAACAATCAAATCCTAAGTCGGCCTGGATGTCTTGCAACAACAACCCCCTATTCTTCGTTTCAGAAAGGAACACAAGTTTTGGGCGATGCTTCTGACACATCTTCGTAAGGCGTCGAACTGTGAGGTTATTCCCAATCCCTCGACAGTTCCAACTGAGTGTCCTCATGGATAATTGTGGGATGGGTTTTTGGACCCCATCGAACCACCGGCTTTTCTTGGCTTAGCTCGTTCCTCTCTAGCATTATGGCTGGAGTATCTCGATCTTCCCATTCTCGCTAGTCTGCTTCTGAGTTGTAGAGCTTATTGATCTTAAGCGAGGAGATCCCCGGCGAAAGATTTTTTTTTTATTGGGAGTCCGCCTATTATTACTCCTTGGCCCTTTTAAACTTCGTGAGCTTCTTGCACTCACATTCTGCCGTGTAGAAAATGTCACTGCTGTGGATGTTGCAGGTAGATCCAAATCCAAAAGCTCCTCGTCAAAAAGATCATCCTCCTCATCCATCCTTTCTTCTTCGTTGGGTATTGGAAGCCCCATATCTGTCAAAGCCTCAATGACATGTGCATCATCTTCTTCCATCGCGGGATTATTTGTGGAGTACGTCAATGAACGCGCCAGACTACTTGCACGGAGAGTTACATTATCTTGCATTGTTGGTGACGTAATCGTGCTGGCTAGTCTTTTTCTTTGTGGGTTCTCAGAGCTCTTTGAAGTCTCATCAGTGTGAACTCAAGGATCAAATGAAGCTTCTCCAATTGCTATCGCCTTAGTTTGATCATAGGAACAAAACATAGGAGAGCTAGAAGATGTGATATCACCTCGAGAAGTTCTGTCCGTACTCATCTTCTGAGTTTGTTCATGTGAAACGACAACACGACGATCACTTATCTCGTCCCGAGGAGAACAATAGCTTCCGGTCTCATCAGGAGCATGATCCCCACAGGCACTCCTGTCTATAGTCTTCTTCCTAGTTTGTTCAGATGAAACAACATGGCGATCGCTTATCTCCTCCCAAGCATTCCTATCCCTACTCTTCTCACGCCACTCCACTCTTTCACTTCGGTAATACGGCTCAGAGGCATTACGACCTCCATTGGAACTCCAAGATTTTGGTTTACCATCTCGACGGATGATACGATCAGAGTGAGAATACCAACGTTTTCCCTCGACACGAGTCTGAAGGACTGTTTTGTCTCCATATTTACCTTGTTCCTTACATGTATCAGAAATGCGTGACTGCAGGTCTGAAGTCCTACCTCAGTATGGAGCTTGTCAGACATCTTTCGAGACTTAGTCTGTCTCAGTAAAGCTTGGTCCCCTGTCTGACTTGCCGGGTGTAGATTTCTTTGGTTGTTGTTTCTCTAATTTTCGTTCTTTTTAATACCTGAATCATTAATCATAACAATAATTTCTTGGTTGGTAACAGATAATATGACGTAAATAAGCTTAAAATGATAAACAAAATAAGTATATTGTTTCTGTATATCTTTTTAATTTTAGCTATTTCAAAATTTACAAGCGAAGAAAATAGAAATCAGGAATGATTGGGGTCCTACACAAAGGACATGTCATTTTATCGTCATGGATCCAACGGTCGATACACGTCTTGTGAAAAACATGAACGCAGTTCCTTAAACACCGGACCTGGTCGCCACCATCGAACTCATCTTGACATATCCGGCAGCTCTCCGGCGGATTCACCCGTGACATATCCTTGAACTTCGTTGCCGGAAGCATATCGTCCATCGGAATGTTGTTTAAGCTTCCCCAAGAATAAACACCAAACAAACGAGTTGGATCAAGAAAAGAACAAACAGCTCTCATAAAATCATTCAGAATAACTCCGACGATTATGATTCCGGTGCCACCGTAAGAAAAGCCCATGTTACTTTCTTTTTTAACAATGATGGATAAGAAAGAAAGAAATATTTGTGGAAGCATATATATATATAAAGTGGCTATTTATATCATTTGGATATTACAATTCTCGGTGTTAGCGTAGATTGCGAGGGGCGGGACTTGTAGAGAAAGAGGATTGAAACTTACGTCAAATAAATAAAGCTACAGAATGTGACTGAAAACAACCAATCATAGAAGTTTGTGATTGGTTGGTGATGACCAAAAAAAAGATAAAGTGAAAAGTGAAGTTCACATATTGACAAACATGCCTTTGAAGTAAAAGCAAAGTCTATATATATAATAATTAAAATAAAGATATCGTAGTCTTTCGGTATTTTTTTAGATGATTTGATTTTAAAGATTTTAGATGATTTAGAAAAAAATTATCATCATTTGATAGCACATTTTGAATCACTTCTAAAATTATAAGATTTGGGTTTCGATATTTAACTAATGAACTTCAATAAAGCATCTTGAAACACAACAAATCTTCTAAAATTTACTATTTAAAATACCTTTAATGATAATAGATTCTAAAATAGATTTAAATCACAAGTTAAGTAACAATGAATTTAAAATAAATTTTTAGCTTTTGTATATAACACCATACTTATATCATTTTAATAGTATAAACTAGAGATTGACCCGTCCTCAAGAAGGTGGATATATTTTTTGTTTTAATTTTTTTGCCTCGTATAATATGTGTGTGTTTGTATAATCATATTTTTACATGATATAAATTTAATATAATGCAACATTATACCCGAACATTATCAGCGTGATGGTTACCATAAGAAAAATAAGAGAAATTATTGTTGTTGCAGTTATAATATAATCTTCCTTCATTCTCATTGCTATACGAATATATATGTATATTTTTTTTATTTAATTGTTGGACTGAACTAATATCAATAGATTAAATTTGTGTTTTAATAAAATAGATAAATATGAAAAATAAAATAGTTGAAGATAATATTTATCAATAGGTCATGAACCTGTTTTAATAGAATAGATAGATAGATAGATTCATCATTATAATTATTATATTATATCACTTATTAGTTATGACACATGTATGTGATATATAACTGATTTAAATAATAGTTGACAAAAATAGATTTAAATAATAATATAAGTATGATAAGAAAAATATAGGTTAATTTAATTATACAAATGTGCATTAAACAAAAACGAAGGAGTGTAAAGCATAACTGTCATGTAAAAAAAGAAGCATAACTGTCGCCATACATAAGAATATATAGAGAAGTGGGTCTCCATAATTAATGAAAAAAAGTAGGGTATATTACTAATAAAATATAGGAATAATTAGTTGGACTCAACCTTCATCAATAGGTCATGCTGCAAAATTAATAGCATAGATTAGATTTTGATCCGCGTTTCGAAAGCGCGGGTTTTTCTTTGGATTATAAACAAAATCTGTAAATTAGTATTTTAGAATTGTTTTATAATATCATTTTACAAAGTCATATTATATTGAAGAGAAATTTGTTTAAATTCATATTATATATCAATTAGTTTATTTAAGATTTTGTATATACGCTCTTATATCTCTCTTAGACCTGGACATTTACCAGACCCGGAAAACCAAACCGAAATCAGCCCAGAAATAGATGTGCTTTTTAGGTCTCGGTCCATGGTAAACTGCATATTAGATTTTTTTGGACCCGCAGATTCTTGTTCGAGTCCGGATCCTACATGAGGGTCTATCGGTATCCAAAATACTTGAAATGTTTTGTATATATTAGATATATTTGGATATTTTGGATATGTTTTAGGTATTACAAAAACTTTTTAAGTTTTGGGTTTGTATTTTGAATTATCGTTTCGGGGTTCGGGTAAAATTTCATATTTAAATTCGGGTATTAAAAAAAATGGGTATTTTTGGTTTCGTGGGTCAGATTCCAAGTAAAATTTTGGGTATTTTGGGTATTTGAATACTTTTGGTATTTATTTGGGTTTTCAGTTTTTTCGTGTTTTGATATTTTGGATTCTAGGTATTTTGATTTTTTGGATCTTAAATACCCAAACCAGTCATGTCCTATTTTTTTTAAAACATCTAGTCCCGTTACATATCCAAAAATTATAGGTGTTTTATAGGTATTTGAATTATAGACCCGAACATATCTGAATCCAAAAAACCGACATCGACAAGTATCAGAAATTTTCAAATGCCTAGTCATGTCCAAATGTTTAAGATCGAGAAAATTTAGACTGAAAAGAAACCGATTTGTACCCAACTCGAATGCCTTAACCTACTCTCTCATTGGGCATTTTATAAGAGTTACATGTGTGAGTTGGTAGGCTTAAAATTTATTTAGCATATTTTTTGGTTAATATAATAGTACAGATTTGTAAGGTTTTTAATAGTTTTTAAATTTATTTTAAATAACATTTTTTATAATTTTTTTATAATTTTTTTATAATTTTTTATAGAGAATAATTTAATATAAAGTAACTACCTTTTTAAGAGGTGGTTACTAAAGTTTCTTTATTAAATTTTATTTTGAAAAATATTTGGAACAATATAATGTAAGATGACATAGTATAATATGATGTATGATATGTGTTAACTTTTAATTAACTTTCAAAATATATTAATTAGTTTAGAAGTTGACGTGCATAGGAGTGATATTGTTTTGGTTCGTGGGTTAGTCGACCAAAATACTTATATTTGATAAATAATATGGTAACTTACAAAAGAAAAGGAGAAAAAGTTGATTATATATGGTGTAATTTGTTTTTGTTTTTTTTTGTTTTTATATCAAAAGGCTGTTTATTCACTCAAAAATCGATTATATATGGTGAGATATTTCAATTTTACATACTAATAATTATAGCTTAATATGCCTCTAAACAATTTGTCATTTCTGAATACTAAGCTATAATTATTAGTATGTAAAATTGATATATATATATATAGTATGTGTTATGGGTATAAGGGTATGTTATGGGAACATTTATATTTTATACAATACTATCCTATACATGTTTTGTTAAGATGATAATATAATAGTATCATAGAGTAAAATGTAGACTTTTTGGTCGAGTTGGATAATACATATTGAAAAATATATTTGAATAATTAATCATTTGAGTTATTGTAGAGCATTAATAATTTCTGTGACAGAAATAACATTAATAATTCAAATCAGCAACACAAGGGAAATTACATGGTATAAAGTTAGCTACGAGCAGTCCTTCTGTTCACCATTTGCTATTTATTGATGATAGCTTGTTGTTGTGTGAAGCCTCTGTCAGAGATAGTGAAGAAATTTTGAAAGGTCTAAAAGTTTATGGAGATGCGTCTGGGCAAATGATTAACCCTCTGAAGTCTTCCATAATTTTTGGAAAAAAAAAATAACCGATGAGACCAAACAGGCTATAAAAAAAGTTTTGGATATAGAGAAGGAAGGTGGTGAAGATTCATATCTTGGCCTCCCTGAGTGTTTTCAAGGTTAAAAAAAGATCTCTTAAATTTTATCAAAGAAAAATTAGAAGGAAGATTATAAGGGTGGTACTCTACAACTTTGTCGATGGGGGCCAATGAAGTTTTAATAAAATCGGTTGCTTTAGTTCTCCCAATATATGCAATGTCATTTTTTCGGTTACCAAAAGGTCTTTGTGAACGAATTACGAGTGCGATTATAGAGTTCTGGTGGAGTAGTGGGGATAAAAAAGAGAAAGATCCCATGAGTTTCTTGGGAAAAGTTATGTAAATCGAAAGAACAGAGGGGGTCTTAGGTTTCATGACATTGGTCGTTTCATTCAGGCTTTGCTTGGGAAACAAACTTGGGGAATTTGAAATAATCATGACTCTTTGGTTTCTAGAATTCTAAAAGGCAAATATTTCAAAAATGGAAATTTTCTTGAGTGTGGAACATGGACACGTCTGTCGTATGCATGGAGGAGTATCATGCACGGTAGAGAATTACTCAAAAATGGCTTGTATCGACATATTGGCAATGGGCCTAACACTCAAGGAGGCTTTGGTGGATTTTGATCACCCACACTCAATGACGCCACACCAAGTGGATCATATTCGACTCGTAGTGGGTATAAGTTGTTAGAGGCTTTGGTGGATTTTGATCACCCTCAAGGACACTCTCTCACTCCTATTGAAAAACAACGGTGGAGAGACTTGTGGAAGACCAAAGCTCCACCAAAAATAAAACACTTTATGTGGCGTGCTCTATCTGGTGCGTTAGATGTTAAGCAACGTTTGACTACTCGGGGCATTCCGATAGACCCAACATGCTCCGTTTGTGGTAATGGTGCAGAGAGTATCTGTCATGTTCTTTTTAAATGAAAGCACGTGCCACATGGAAGCAATCTAACTTCCCAGTACCCTTAGGAGGCAACACTCGGAATTCCACCTTTTTAATTTTTCTGCACCTGATCAAGATTGTTAAAAGTTCATCTACGGATATACATACAAGAAAAGTTTTCCCATGGTTGCTGTGGGAAAATCGGAAAGCTAGAAATGCTTTTGTTTTTGAAACTAAGGCTATTGAGTCTTCGTTTATTGCTAATAGAGCCTATGAAGAAGAATCCACATGGTTTGATACATTCACAAGAACAAAGGATGGAGTGGGTGATGTTGATACGGAAATGGTTCGATGGAAAAAAAACCGTCCAATGGTTTCCTCAAATGTAATGTTGGATCCTCATGGGTAAATTCAAATCATCTTAGTGGTGTTTCATGGATTCTACGTGATGAAAATGGGTGTGTAATCATGCATAGTCGTCGAGCCTATTCATGTATGCGCACAAAAACATAGGCAGACTTATGGGCTCTTTGTTGGGCCGTTGAATGTTTGCATAATTTACATTTCTCAAATATTATTTTTGAGACTTCGTCGGAGAGCCTACATGACGTACTCACAAAGCCTGATGAACATCGTAGCCACAGCCATATTCGCCACAATATATCTTTTCTTCTGGCAAGGATAGATTCATGAAGTTTG